AACTGCAAACTACGAACCAACAGCAAGGTGACGAAGGAAAGGAAAGCCCAAAAACTCCTCAACCAGAACCTGCTGCAGCACGGTGCGTCTCTGATCCTTGAGTTCTGAGGTAATCCTATTTAGTTCCGTTTCCTCCGCTTACTTATCTGCATAAATTCCATCATGCTGAGAAGTGCTGGAATTTGTTTCGCCACTTCAGTTCATGAGATGTTGATCAGTAAAACGAGCGAGTAGAACTTGATACTTACCCCTGGTCCGGTGCCTCGAGGGTTTCGATGACCACTGTTATGAGGTCCTTCATGTCCACCCCGACCTGTGCCGTTCTGGAGTTGGGGATAGGGTTTATAGGGCCCCACAAAAGCACATAAGCAAAAATTAGGATAGGGATATCACATATAAACCCCCTTATCATGAAGCCCAATAAGGTAGGGATATCCCTATAAAATGCTTATGCTTCTGTCCTTTTTGGGTTCCTAAGTTTAAGGCTGAGGGATTAGCAGTTCGGATCTAGGACTCAGGGACTGGGGACTCAACACAAAATTGAGCAAGCTGCCCGAATAGAGGGGCCTTAATAAGTAGAATAGGGTTTTGGGACCACTAGACTATATTTATAATCAGGAACCCATAGTAATTATTGGTAACTATTCAGGCTAAACCCTGCACCCCAATCCCCAAAGCCACAAAACCCGAAATACTCACCAGCACAGCGATCGTGCTGCAGACTGCAACTGACACGAACTCCTACACCCCGAACTCTCAACCCTAAACCCGAAACCCAATATCAAAAAGTGCTACATCCCAAACCCCAAACCCTCAACCCTAAGCCCTAAACCCAAAAACCCAAGACCATCAATCCCAAAACCCCCTACTCTGTGCACCCGGCCCTGAGGAGCTTCCGTTGCGTCGTGGACTTGCTCAGGAATTCGATGAGCATCACGGCCGTGAACTGCGGAGGCTGACACTTCTCATATCAAGCGGTTACATACATGCATACACACATACCTACATGCATGCANNATGCATGCATACAGACAGACAGACAGACAGACAGACAGACAGACAGACAGACAGACAGACAGACAGACAGACAGACAGGCATACAGACATACAGGCATACAGACATACAGACATACAGGCAAACATACGTACGTACATACACACATACATGCCTAAATACATATATACATGCTTACATACATATGTACCTATGTAGGTATGTATATATATATATATATATACACAGACGCGTGCTGATATCTGTCTATCTACCTGTTTATCTGTCTGTCTGCCAGTCAATCGGTCCGTCCATCCATCCATCCATCTCTCTTTGTGTATGCGTATTTATGCTATGCGTTCATACTTCCGCTTATACTTGCTTGTGCCGTATCAAGGTCCGTCCGGAAGCCCTAGACCCTAAACCCTAAACCCTAAACACGTGATTTCGGGAGGCAGGACGTGCGAATGTCTGGGCAACCCGGCGTGCCCAGACCCTTCTTCGTTGGCCAGCTCCTGTGCCGCAGGATCCACTTTGGGGTTCCTACAAGGGTTCCTTTAAAGGGCTTAGGGCTTAGGGCTCCTATAACGGAACCTTTAAAGGGCTTAGGGCTCAGGGCTTAGGGTTCCTGTAGGGTTCCTTTAAAGGGCTTAGGGCTTAGGGTTCCTATTACGGAACCTTTAAAGGGCTTAGTTCTTAGGGCTCCTATGAGGGTTCCTTTCAAGGGCTTCGGGTTTAGGGTTCCTGTAAGGGTTCCTGTAGAGAGCCTAGGGCTTAGGGTTCCTGTAGGGGTTCCTTTAAAGGGCTTAGGGCTTAGGGTTCCTATAACGGAACCGCTAAAGGGCTCAGGGCTTAGGGTTTATAAGGGAGCCTGTCAAAGGTTCTACAAGGGCTGCCACAAGGGAACCCTCAAGGGTTGTATATAGGGGTTAGGGTTTAGGGTTTAGGGTTTAGGGTTTAGGGTTTAGGGTTTAGGGTTTAGGGTTTAGGGTTTAGGGTTTAGGTTGCTATAAGGGGACTTTTTTGGGGGGTTCTACAAGGGTTGCTGTAATAAGGGTTCTATAACATAGGGGCCCAAACAATTAGGGTTTCAGTCAACCTGACCCACAACGAAACGTGCGAGCGTTCTTCGAATTAAGGTACTGTCGAATGGCGATCACGACACTTTGGGTCGATAACCCTAAACCCTAAACCCTAAACCCAAAATCTGACCCCATAAGCCAAACCTGAACCCCAAAATTCGGGTGATATTGAAGTCCCACATACAGAAGCTCCTTGCGCAGGAATGCGCGTACCCGTGGCTCATTCTGCTCTACCTGGCATGGGTTTCAGGGTTTCGGGGTTTAGGTGCTAATACAGGGGCCTTAATCATCAGAATAGGGTTGTGGGACCCATTATACTATACTGAACTTGGACCCCTAGCAAAAATTATAATTTTAGCTGCCTCTTAGGGTTTATAGTAGCCAAAGATTCAAAAATTATTTCTAAGTACCCCTAAGTATAGTATATCTATAATCAGGAACCCCCAAAATAGTATTGGTAATTATTTTCGGCCCCTGGAGTCTGGTCTACGGTTGCAGTGTCTAGGATCTCCGGGCTTGGGGCTGATGTAGGGGGTTTCGGGTTTAGGGTGGCTACTGTTGATGATAAAAATCCTGCATGACCTTAAGGACCCTAAACTATGGGAATTCTGGTATATTCTGGTGTATTCCTTACTATGGGTAATGCAGGATTTTGTATCATCAACCGTAGGTTTAGGTTGGAGGACACAAAGTTCCGATTCCGACGAAGGTCGACACAAACACGTGAAAGCTGAGCTGTCAAACGATGGGTCCCTGGGCACCAAATAAAGTCTCCCAGCCAAGGTTTATTTGGATCTAAGGGTCTAGGGTTTAGGGATTTAAGATTTTAAGGATTATGGGACTTAGCAACCAAGGAAATCAGGAAGGTAGCTCTAACTATATTCACCGATGATATAAACCCCAAATAAGGTATTGATAACCTTACTTAGCAAGTCCCCAGATCCTCCCAGAGCAGAACGGCCTTCAGTAGCGCACCTAGTCCATGGAGCACCTGGCATCAGACACTGATCTGCGGGAGCTGAGCTGCGTTGAGACTCTGTGTGACTGGTATGCACTCCTGGATACACTCAGCGCCGAAACCCTAAACCCTAAACCCTAAACCCCAATCCCCACAATCGCAAACCCTAAACCCTAAACTCTAAACCGTTCATCGACGAGACCCTCAACCCTCAACCATAAATCCACAACCCCGAAAGCCCCAACCCAACCCCGAGTCAAGCATCCCTGAACCCTCAGCCCTAATGTAAGGGGCCTGAACAATTACAGTAGGGATTTGGGGGTACATTCTACTATAATTATAACAAGGAACTCCCAGAGTAGTATAGGTAATTATTAAGGCCCCGAAGCCCCAAACCGTCAAGCATTGGATTTCTAGTCTAAACCCTAAACCCTAAACCCTAAACCCTAAACCCTAAACCCTAAACCCTAAAAGTCGCAGGTGTTTGCCTCGTTGAAGTTCAGCTCACCGCTGCCATCCTCGTCCAGCCTGAAGATGGGGAGGTTCTTCGGTGCCCTTGCTCCTAAACCCTAAACCCTAAACCCTAAACCCTAAACCCTAAACCCTAACCCTAAACCCTAAACATCTGGGCTGTAGTAACCCCTCTTCAATTCCCGCATTCTGCCAAAATCCCAGATGGGACTGGCTCGAAAACCCCAAAAAACTCCAAACCCCAAAAACCTAAACCTAGAATCCCATAGAACCCTTGTAGTACCCATGTGGCTTCCTGACCGAAAATCCGGCGAGTGTCCGGAGACGCCTAAAGCCTAAAGGGTCCTCACAGCCGTCTCCTTGCTGCCCAGGAGCATGCCAAAGACCTCTGGACATGACTCATGGGTTTAGGGCTTAGGGTTTAGGGTTTAGGGCTTAGGGTTTAGGGTTTAGGGTTTGGGCTTAGGGCTTAGAGACACATCAAGTGTTCCTTCTAGGGTTTCTAGAGGGGATCTACAAAGGTTGTATACAAGTCCTAGGAGGGTCTAGCATTTAGGGTCTACCTGTTGGATCATGGGACTTTGTAAGCAAAATTAAGAAGTGCCTGTCTTGTAGTCTGATGTATTCCCCTGGTTAATAAGCCTCTCTGCCTTAGTATGCGTTGTACTTAGGACCCTCGAAGAACGGGATTTTTCATGAAACAACGGTCCACATGTATCTTAAGCGACAAACTTCCTTGCCCTACACCTGTGGCACCACCTTGCATCCCAAAATCAGAGAGCAAAGGCTTTGAATCTTCAGGGTTTAGGGTTTCGGGTTTAGGGTTTAGGGTTTAGGGTTTATAGGGTTTAGGGGTTTAAGGGTTATAGGGCTTAGGGTTTGGGGTTCAGGGTTGGGGTTTAGGGCCTAGTGTTTCGGGTGTTGCAGAGAACCTGACACTCGAGGCCCCGGGCCACTAAACCCGAACCTAGGTTTGGGGTCCTTTCATATACGGGCCTTCATAATGAGAATAGGGTTTTGGGGGTTCCTTTAAAGGGTTCCTTAAAGGGTTCTATAAGGGCTACTATATGAGAGCTTAGGGTTTAGGGGCTAACATTAAAACTCATTCAAAACCCTCAAGGAGCCCTGACCTAAAGCCCTACTACACCCTGAACCCTTGAACCCCTAAGCCCTAAACCTTGATCCTTAAACCCCTATAGACTTACAGGAATCCTTAATCCCTAAACCCTTAAGTAACCCTTAGAGAAACCCTGTACAACCCTTAAAGGAACCCTCAAAGGAACCTGAAAAGGAACCTGAAATGTAGGGAGCCTGGATAATCAGAATAGCGCTTTGGGGGCTCCTTATTATACTTATAGTATACTATAATTACCCCCAAGCCCTTTTCTAAATAATTAAGGCCCCCAAACCCTAAACCCTGAAACCCGAAACCCATTAAGGCCCCTATAGCAGGAGAACCCTAAACCCTAAACCCTAAGAACCCTCGAGGCGTAACCTTCAGGATCTCGTCAATCTTGAAGTCTTTGCCCATCAGCAGCTCCCGCGTCCGGCCGTCCTAGGCTTCTTTCCCGGTGGTCGTAGGAGTTGGAGGGTTTAGGGTTTAGGGTTTAGGGTTTTGGGCTTAGGGTTTAGGGTTTAGGGTTTAGGGTTTAGGGTTTAGGGTGGGATTTCTCTTTTTGGGGCTTGGGGTCTAGAGTTTGGGATTTCTCTATTGGGGGTTTGGGATTAAAGTTTAAAGGTGTGGGTTTGGGATTCCGTTAAGATTTGTGGCTTGCATTTAAGATGTTTCGTTCGGGGCTTAGGAATCCTTGATCCCTAAACCCTGAAGTAAGCCTTAAAGAAACTCTGCACGACCCGTCAAGGAACCCTCAAAGGAACCTGTAATGTAGCGGGCCTGAATAATTAGAACAGCGTTTTGCGGGCTCCTTATGCTCCCAAGCTCTGTTCTAAATATTAAGGCCCCTAAA